ATCCTGGACACTACAGAAAATGGGCTAAAAGTGTTAAAAACCGAACTTCTCCTTTAAGGACTGTACTTGAGCACCCCTGATCTAAACCATGTAGGATGATGTACTTTGAAGATCCGGGTTTAAAACAACACCACTGCCCCTGAACTTGGAAGGGTCAAATGGGACAAAAGTCCTGTATTCTATTGTGAAAATTATTATTTATATATTTTTTTTGAGGCACCAGTGGGTTGTTTTTTCAACAGTAGGCTGACAGGAAAAGGGGGTATTAGAGAGGGGGAGAGACATGCAACAAAGGACCACAGGCCGGATTCGAACCCCGGTTGGCCTTGTCAAGGCGTAAGGCAACATGGGTCGTGCGCGCTAACCGCTGAGAGTGTCTTTACAAGTGCAAAACATTTAAGACCAAACAGAGAATGAGTTGTTTTTTTTGTTGTTGTTTTTTTTTACTAAAATGTGGCATGCATCTGAATTGTTTATCGTCACTGTTTTCTCCAGACGATGTAGCAAAGTTTCAGTCGCGTGGATCATTGCTGTTGAAAACTGGACGGGAGCCGAGCGTCTCTCTGGCTCAGAACCAGCTGTCAGAGGACGACAGAGCCAAACTCAAGGTGAATTAAAAATCTGCATTAAGCAGACTGTCAGCTTTTGTTATGCCTAAAGATTTCAGTGAAACATCTGTGGGTTTAGTATTCAAAGTTTCAGAGTTTTTATTTTTTGTTAAACACAGTGTCATAGAACAGAAACATGGATTTGTGGTATGTTTGCTTTGTTTCTTCAGGAAGTGGCTGCAGTCGATGGTCTGTACAGAATCAGAGTGCCTCGAGTTTTCCTGCAAGCAGACAGACAGACGGAGTGGCAGATGGAAGGTTATCTCACAGCGTTCGTCAGAGCTGTATGTATTTAGCTGCTGAGCTTCTAAATTAGATGGAAAATGTCTTTCTATCTACTAAAGAAATTATCATAATGATTTATTTTTCTGTTGTTGGAAGGAAAATGGTTTTAGGAATTCAGTAAGAATCTGTTTCAAACTGTTGGCTTTGTGGTTCTCAGTGTGCGATGGTGGAGTCCCACCTGAGCGACGTGATCACGCTTCACACTGACGTCTCTGGATACCTCATCGGTGTCTCCATCGTGACGTTACCCGGAGCCTGCAGAGGCACAGAGGTTGAGGACGAAGTTGATCTGGAGGTTTTTAACACCACTCTCAGCATCATGGCTCCTGTAAATGCACCAGGGTCAGTCTCTGCTGTCCTCTTTTCTTTTCTTCTTTACAGATGATGTGAAGCTGTATGCTGTTCTAACATAGGGATAGGTTTATTAGAAAACCTTCAGCTTTTCAGACTTGATTAACATTTTTTATCTTGGTGTATTTCTAACTTGGCTGCCTGATAGAAAATACTAAAAGATTAGATGTTTTTCTTGCTGTTTGATTTTTAAAACGAATAATAACTTAGCAGTCAAGCGTAGTTTAGTTTTATTTTTCCATATCTGGAAACTATTTAAAAACTATATAAGTATAATTTTACTACAGACGTGACTGTCTATCCCAGTGTGTGTGTGTGTGTGTGTGTGTGTGTGTGTGTGTGTGTGTGTGTCCTACTTTCCTAATACTCCACCTTATATTTTCTGGTGTTCATATTTTCATCTTTAGAGATCTCCTTCTGTTTTTCCTTTCTCTGGTGTCAGGATTATGCCAAAAGTCCACACATGCAATAAACTATTCCTCATGTGTTTGTTTAACGTGTTACATGCGCAATTAGAGTATCCTAATGCCCCAATATATCCCACGCATGAGTGCTCGCTCCTTCCCTGTGCACATGTGGTTTAATTTCCACAGGGGAGATTTTACCACAAACCTTAAAAACTCCTTATTTTCACTTCAAGCCGCTACGAACGGCAGCGGGGCTTCCCCTACAGGCTGGCTGCAGCAGAGAGCTTTCAGTGGGATCTAGAGCTCCAATCAAGAACTACATATTTTAGTAGAATCATAATCCTGATGAACTTGCAAAACAAATAATGTTTGGAGGTGGACTTCCTCACTTAAAAACGCATTTTCCAACTCATCAAAGTAAATAAAGCCAAACTGCTCTCTAGCTTTTAGGTGCAGAACAGATTAGATAAACAATCAGAGCTCCAAGCAGCCATCATCGAAGCTTGACCAGCATTTGACGCAGCGTCCAAGTGTCGGCATTGAAGCGTTTTTAACGGCCAGATCGCGATCGGTATGAACGCACCTTTACCCAAAGGACAAAGCAACCTGTCTGTGATTGCCTACTTTTCAGGAAGTCCCGCTCATGAGTTGTGGCGCGTTGCCAAGGTAACCAGTGTATCTATTGGGCAATTTGACTAGAACTTTTTTTGTAGGTCCTTTAACCCTACATTCAACCAGAATCAGGTACTAACTCAGACTATGTTTTATTTAATGGTAACTCTGCTCACAAACTTCCAACTCTTGAAGAGACGGGGTTAGCCTGAAGTTGCTTTGCTAGTAGGAAGAAGAGTATGGCCTCAAGGTGCGGGATTTCCTGAAAAGTAGCCAATTACAGGCGGGTTGCTTTGTCCACGGGGTAACGCCCTCCAAGTGACAAAAGTTGACATGAGCCACAGAAACGTGTCCAAATGCAAGGAGGAGGGAGGCTGAGAGCGCATGGAAATCCAACCATTTATTGCACCTGTGGACTTTTGCAGAATCCTGGCACAATAATAAAGGCCTGTGTGGGAAGCAGCAGCTTCTATAGTAGAGTCCATTGCTGCCATCATAGCTGTAACTCTCTGTGTTTCTTAAATCATCTCCATCTAAGTTTATTTCATCCAGATTTTTCTTTAAGAATTAGCTAAAGAAAACGTCACTGTGTGCATTTATAGATTGTTTGATGGATTGTGGCCTTTTTCTTCCAGACCAGAGACGGCCCTTTTCCTGGAACGTATGGAGCAGGAATCTGAGAAGAAAGGGAAGAATCCACAAGAGCAGAAATCTTTCTTCGCCAAATACGTGAGTGGAAGTTCACCCTGAAGCTGCTGATGAGGTTTGGAGGTTCTGTGCTGTTTTAAAGAAGCCATGAGGCTTTTAAAGCCATCAGGTTTTAAAAGTTTACATCTTACCTGGTGAAATATTCTTTCTGGACGTTTAGTTTTAGTATGTTTATGTATTTGTTTACACTCTCTCAGCATGGTTTTCTGCCTGTGTGGAGCTTCTGTAGCAATAGAGAAAGCATGAAACACTCAAGTTGTTTTTGGCTGAAATAACCAAATGATTTTTTTTTTCTCTTTTTTTTTTCGGACCATCTTATTAGTGAGGGCTTTTTACGGCGGTGTATTAGGGCCATACAAAAATAAAAATAAAATAATTATAATACACGTTAAAGTATGCTACATAAAGCACACCCAACTGGATCATTAATTGGGGGGCTTTAGAATGGAATGAGATGGTACAATGGCCTCCATGTAAAATGAATTTGCATGTTTATTTTTTGTTAATATACATTTTCCTCGTAAATTCATATTTTTCTTCTCAATTTGCATGCTTATAATGTCGTAAATATGCATGTTTTTTCTTGTAAATTTACATGTACTTTTAAATTCATATTTTTCTTCTGTTTGCATGCTCATAAATGTCATAAATGTGCGTTTTAGTCTCAACTTTTCCTCTAAAACCGAAGCTCGTAAATATGCATGTTTTTTCTTGTAAATTTGCCTATTTATTCTCGTACATTTGCTGTTTGTTTCCTTCGAAATTTGCATGTTTATGATGTCATATATTTTTGGTGTTTTTACTCGTAAATTTGCGTGTTTATTCTCCTAAATATGCCACTTTAAACGTAATCATTTAAAATTAAGTTCTTTTTGCGTCTTTTTTTTTTTTCAGCTTTACTGCCGGTCGGCACTTTTATTAAAGCTGTACATACAGAGAAAGCAAGCCGTCGTGACGTTTCGAGTTAACTTACTCTTCTTCAGGCAGGCTTGCTAACTCTGTTTTTGCGTCTTTGAATGGCCTAAATACGCCGTCGTAGCAGCTTTTCGCTCCCACCCTCTTAATTTTATATTTTAAAGTCGCCTCTGGGCTGGAAAGCTTTGTTCTTCACTTATTCACCAGTTCTCACATTGGAAACCATATATTCTCTTTGCTGATATTTTGTAGTACGTTTTTTTTTTTTTTTTTTCCTCCATCCCGTCCAGAACGACCTGGTTCTGTGCTCGTCTGGGCTCCGTTATGATCTTTCAGCCTCGTCGTTGTGCTGTGCTGTGTTTGTGCCTTGCCATGTGTCCAGTGACTGTGTGCTGCTGTGTTCCAGTGGTATTTGATTCTGGGAGGTGCCATCTTCCTCATGCTCACCAATTCAGCACAGCCCCCAGCAGGGGGGGGCAGAGAGCAGAGCTGATTCCCACTGAAGTACAGTTTCCTTACTTGTGGCTCATTCTCTTCCTCCTACTCTTCCTCCCCTCTCTTTGTATTTAACATTTATTAGGGAGATTAACCGAAACAAAACCATTTTAGATTTTAACTTCTTCCTTTTTTCTATATAACTCCCTCTCAGAAGTCAAATACCAAATCATTTTCAGGTTAATATTTTCTAAAAGAAAACCTTGAATCCAAACATTTGTAAATTAAGCTTAATTGTGTTTGGTGTTTGACCCTGACGACTCCACTCTCTAGTTTCTCTCGCTCATTGAGTTTCTTTAACCTTTACTTTTCTTCTGCTGATAAAAAGTTGACCTAATCTGGGATGAAATAAATCTGCAAAGTTTTCCAAATAGTGATCATAGTTGATTCTCATTCTTTCAATTATAAATCTGGTAGTTATTTGTATAACTTCTCTTTACAGTGGATGTACATCGTGCCTCTTGTTCTCTTCCTGATGATGTCGGGTGCCCAGGACCAATCAGGAGGCGGCGCAGGTGGTGGTGCAGCCAATGGAGGAGGCCGATGATCAACTGGTTTTTCTTTTTTTGTTTTTTTTTTGTTTTTTCCGGTAACGTTCACTGAATGATCATTCTCAGATTTTACCTGCTGTACATAATGCTATTTAAGGAGGATAAATATTTGTTGTGCATCTTAAACCTGTACAGTGAAAAGGAGACAAAGTGACCCACAGATGACTGCACTTTTATTACTGATGTGAAAAATAAAGTATTTATTACTTTACTTGTTGCTTTGTTTTTTACTTCACCTCTGATTTGATAATTATTTACACAGATGTATTCATAAAATTATTTTTAATGCAGTATTTTCCAAAAACTTAAACTCTTATCTAAAAGAAACGTAATCTTGTCCAGAGTGTTCACATTTTTTTTTATCTTTCTAAAGTTGTCAGGTCTGATATTTTATTGCTGTTTAACAGCAGTCTTACTTGAGGTGTTATGCTAGCCTGCTTTAGACATACATTTATGCAGCCTATGCTATAAATAAAAGCATAAAAAAGAGAGCTAGCCTTCACCTATCTGCATTTTAAGGGCGAGTAATGGCCTAGTGGTTAGAGCAGTATGCTTGTGCTCTGAGAAGGTTTCAAGTACTGGGTTCAAATCCCACTGCCTCCATTTTTGAGTTCCTGAGCAAGACCCTTAACCCTTGATTGCTCCCCGGGTTCCTCACAATGGCAGCCCACTGCTCCCCAAGGGGATGGGTTGAATGCAGAGGTAAATTTCTCCAATGTGAGATTAATAAAGTTCAGTTATCAATTATTTATAAACTTTATTCCTAAAACATCCTTATTAAAAGTTCTGGAAAGAATTGTGTGCATGCAGCTGAAATCGTTTTTAATTATGTTTTGTTTATTTTGTCATTGACTCTATTATCTTTTGTACCATAACTCTGTGCAGAACTTAGGTCAAAGTTCCAGCTTTTAAATCTACCTTATAAACAAACCTGAATTAATGAGGAATAAAAGTTGTAAAACAAAATTCTATGAAGCTTTCAGAGGATTATTGAATGTAAAAATGCCTTTCCTGATATATTTTGTGAAACAACCTGCAAGCTTATGTTGTGTATCATATCTTACCAATTTTATTTTTAAAGAGCAGCCATTGCTGAAAAATAAAAAGAACAAATCACTAGGAGAAATTAAAAAATGAATCGCCCATCCTGAGATATCTGCCAAGAAATCTGCAGACTGAAAACACTTGCATCCGCTGTTCAAACCTGTGTTTTTGCAAAGAAAGATCTCATTTGCTATTGTAATCAGCACGTTTAAGCAGTCCTATCAAGCACAGGTAGAGCCTTGCATTTACAAAGCTGATAGTCCATAATTTCACAAACATCTACATCTGGTCCCTGATTTTGCTGCAATCCCTCCTCCTGATGTCACAGGATGTTTGACTGCATCTTGTGGTTAGCTTTTGCTAAGGGGATTGCTGATAGATGTAACTGAAAGAAAAGCTACATGCAACTGATGTAAATGAAAACAAAAACAAGAAAAAAAATATTAAAATACGTTTTAATCGATGGAGAGCAGTAGGAGAGAGAAGCAGAGCATTCCTAGTCTATATATGTACTGCAGTTCAGTTAATCCCCTCTAACCATGCACTTTATCAAAAAGGAAAGTTTTAAGCCTCGTCTTAAAAGTAAAGAGGATGTCCACCTCATGGACTAAAGTTCAGAGCAGGGTTTACAGGAGAGGCTGAAAAGATCTGCCTCCTACTCTACTTTTAGTAACCTGCAGTATGACAGCGATGTGCTGTGTTACAAAAACATGAACAATCCCAACGTTAATAAAAAATGTGAGCTTGATTATTGAGGTCGTTAGATTAAAAAAAAAAAGTTTTATCATAGGCTGATAAAATGCAATCCTGTTTCAATGGCTAAGAATTTTAATTAGATGTTTTGGTTCAAAGATCACAGCTTATAACCTGTTTGAGTTCTGTTTGTTTGAGCAGAACATAATAAGCACACTGGAAAAATGATCTAGAAATAAGTGAAAATTTCTTAAATTTACTGCTTTTACCCTTTATTTTAGTAGGTAAATGAGATAGTTTGCCAATGGAATGAGTAGTTTTACTCTTAAAATAAGACAATTAGATAACATGCACTTGAAATAAGAGAATTAAATTGTTTTCTCCTATTTTAAATGTAAATTGTCTTGTTCCATTGGCAAGATGTCTCTTTTACCTCCCCAATCCAAGATCAAATGCACTTATTTTAAGAAAAAATGACTTATCTAGATTTCGATTTTTTTCAGTGCAGGTGTAAAAGTAAGCTGGAAAAAGGGGAAAACCTGAATGAAAACATAAAGGCTGTAGAAATTCACATGCATTTTGTCATTGACTCTACAGCAATTCCTCACACCAAGCATGCATGTAGCGACAGTGGAGAGGAATAACTCCTTTTAACAGGAAGAGCGCTCAAGGAAAATCCGGCTTAGCGTGAGCCTCCTTATACCAAGGCTGACTGAGGTTCAAGGAGACAGAAACAGACATACAAAAGGAACATGGAAGCACTAATCTATAAATACTTTCTATGTTAGAAAAGCTAGCAGAAAACCATTTTCACAGGTAGTTCTATCTAGGAAGAAGCAGTTAAGCAGAGGAGCTCTGAGCTGGTTTTCCTGTCAAATGAAGAGAGAGGTCACATGCAGTCAACGACTGACAGTTTATGATGTTCAAATCCTGATGTGATGCACCTGTGCACTACTTTATCCATACATCTATGGGTGTCTTAACTTATTCCTCACCAGAAATTGTATTTTTATTGCTTTTTTGGGAGATTTTATAGTTTTAATCAATATTGTTGTGTTTTTAACATGTATTTTGGGAAATCTCAATGTTTTTGCACCCTCTTGTTTGTTACTTGAAACTCTTCGTATTAAAGTTGATGTCTTACACCCATAATTCCAGTTTTGTTAAGAAACACTAAAGCGGTCTTTAGTCTCCAGCTTCTCGTCATTGGAACCATTTTTGAGTGACAGCTAAGCGGATCTGTCTCTGTATTTCAGCCACGGGTTAACGTCCTGACAGCACAAGCTCTGCATCAACATTACATCACCGCATTTTCCTGCGTCCGGCTGTTTTTAGTCCACACCTCCGACTGGGAGGAACATCCCTGTATTTTTGGGAGGCTCAGTGTTTAGCCTCAGCAGCGTCTCTTCTAATCAGAGGAAAGATCCTTCTCAGAATGGCTGCCCCCTCCTTCCTTAAGCTCCTCTGTGACAGTGTTCACTTCTCCCTTTTGCCATCTGCTTAAAAAACATGAGCCAGAAGCCAAACAAGCTTATTTAGACTCTAATGAGCAGAATGAACAAAATATTGGTTTGGTAATAATGTAGTCGTCTGGTTTGGTCTTAATTTATGCCAACCTAAGAACTTTTTTAAGGAGTTTATACTTACAAACGTTTTCCTAATAATCTTTCTCTAATAAGAGAAAATGACCAAACTAAGTCAGTTCTTCTCTTGTTCAACCTTTGTGTTGTAGACGTGCTGCTGTATTTGGGTTCTTTTTATGACCCTCACTTTTGACTAAGATTAGATTAGTCTGAAATGCTAAATTAGTTTTTTTAACCTCTAATTTCTCAGTGTGATATATCTTTATCCTGAAAAACATGATGTATACAGTCAGATACATGCAGTGAAGAGAAAATGCATGATAAATTGCATTGAAATGTGTGATTTACCACACATGATGCATATTAAAATTTATGATCATTTTCCAAAATGCTCAATAAAGACTGATAAAGGAACTTTGTATTTTATGACCATTTTAAAGTCTGAACCAATGGTTTCAGATTAAGCATGCCAAAAAGTTTGTGTCAATTTAATCCCTGCAAGGTGTCCAAAGGAGCCCATATGATCAACCTCACACTGTTGTGCTTTAAAGTTTGCATGAGTTTATAAACTTAAGCCATGCAGCCATGTTGTTTTTCAATATATGGGTCTTTCTCCATCCGTCTCTTTCAAACATCCACTCTTTCTCAGCCTTTTTCTAATTTTCTTTTCGTCCAAAAAATGTAACATTTTAAATGATAGAAGTCAGCGGAGTCTGCGATGCAAATTTTCTTTTGTTTTGTTTATTTTTTTCTATATTGCTACGACTGACCATGTTGACCATTTTACTGCGGTGGATCTGCTGATAATGGTCAATTCAATCCATCTCTGATCAGATTCACCAGGCTGCTACCTTCCAATTTAAATCCCATAGAAGCAGTGATGCTGAGCTTAGTTTTCCCCACTCTGTTTGTGCATTTTCTTTATTTCAGTAAGTAAATAATGACGTTTGTTGCTCTTCCTCTTATTGATTTAGCGATTCTAATAGACACGTCTGTCACAGATTTAAACTGTTTCACATTGGTGTTCTTCCACATTAAAAAAAGGATTTTTACATAAAACTTTTTTGCAAGTAATGATCTTAATTAAGTTTCTTTTTTATGTCCCTTTTTTAACAGATTTGAGAATTTGATACATGCACACATTTTATAGGAATTAAAACAACAAAACATAAAAGTGTTACTCGAGATGTAGAGAAAGGAGGAGACATGCAGGCATCTGCTTGCAGAGCAGCAGGGTGTCATAAATCACTGCTGCATGGAGACCCATGTCAGCATGACACCCCCCTACTCCTCCTCATACACACCTCTCGTTTGAGAGGAAGCAGCTTGGAGGTTTATGTTTCGCTGAAAGTGTGTGTGGGAGGTTAATTTGGTCTGTCGTTTTCACGCTATAAATCTACTCCTGTTTACTCTGAAGACTTTAGGCTGAGTTGATCTGAGAGATAAAAAAAAAAATGTCCTGGCTTTGATAGCGGCGTCAATCTGCCCACCTGCTGAAAGCTGTAAAGTTGCTTCATTCGCTCAGACTGACCGGGGTTTGTCTTTTATTGAGAGCTAACAAGCCTAAAGTGGCTGCAGAACAATTGGGTGATTTAATCAAATTCAGTGAACATCTTACACAGACATTAACTTTTAAAAACTAGAAGATAAAGATTTTAGTTGTAGCTAAAGTTCTATTGCTGCCTGCAATATTGATCAGCTGGTGCTGGTTAGTTGGAAAGAATGCAGAATTACTTTTTCTTTTTATCAAAAAGCCTAAATAGTTCTCCATTAAGTACAAAAGCTTTTGTTCCTCAAGGAAGCAATGCAAAATGTTCCATTTTGAACCAAGGATCTGCTCACTGGGTAGCACTGCTGCCTTGCAGCAAGAAGGTTCTGGGTTCAATTCCTGGCCTGGGGTCTTTCTGCATGGAGTTTGCATGTTCTCCCTGAGTATGTGTGGGTTCTCTCCAGGTACTCTGGCTTCCTCCCGCAGTCCAAAAAAATGACTGTCTGCAACCTTTACAAACAAAAGAGACATTTTTACGTCCAGCTCATAAAGATTGTTTAGAGACGCAAACATTATGTCCTTTTTTAAAGAGATATCTATCAAAGATTTTTTTTTTAAATCATTACTGTCAAATACATTTGAAATGGATTGGTGTAATCCCAGGTTAAGCAATTAACCCTGTAATGCCAAATGTATCGTATTTGATACATACGGTTTCTGAAATGTTTTGCATCTGACACCTTTTGCATAATTTAATGGTAAAAACATTTGCTCAAAATCCTATTGTACACAATCAGATATACCTGATAACAGAGGGCAGAAGACTACACAAAAAATAATCTCTAATATATTTAGAGTTAAATTATTTTGGGCATTCAACGCAACTAGTCAATTTGTCAGAATTACTATTTTTCCAAAGATCAGCTGGCTCCTTATTATCTTTAGCCAAAGTGATGTAGAGCCACTGTCAAGTGTCTAAAGAGCCGCAGGTTACAGACTTCTAGTCCAAACTATAACAAATGTAAGTTTACTGTAAATAAGTTAAAGGTCCTCAATCATACGTCTGAAGCCTTCTAAAATCAACTGAAATATTTCCTTTGGCTCTACAGAAGAAAAGGCAATTTTATTCTTAAGGCACAATTCAGTCCATAGACAATTCAAAGTGCTTTCCATCCATCCATCCATTTTCCATCCCTCTTATCCCGAGTGGGGTCATGAGTGGTGCTGGTGCCTATCTCCAGGTGGGGTACACCCTAGACAGGTCGCCAGTCCATCGCAGGAAGTGCTTTACATGAATTAGATAGTAAAATAGAAGAAAAATAAAAGCAAAAGCAACTATTTCATAATAAATAAAGTAACGAGACTTCAATTATTATGAAATAGTTATTTTCTGATTTCGTTTTTCCAACCCAGAAGAAAACATGCTGCTGCCTCTCACCACTTGAGGACCGTCCATGTTAGGGCTTAGGTGCTCTATTTTCTTAGTTCTAGTGAGAACACGGGCAGCTGCAGCTCTCTGATGGACCTTTTAGGTAAACCTATAAAAAATACTGTTGCAGTGATCTATTCTAAAGATAAATTCATGAATAGATTTTTCTACATCCTGATTGGTCATTTAACGCTGTTAATGTTCTTCAAGTGATAAAAGGCTGACTTAGTAACTGCCTGATTTAAAGTTGCTCAATGAAACAAGTTCAATCAGTTTCCAGTCTTTTTGCAACGTGTTCCATGTTGAAAGAGCAGAGTAAACAAAATCTCTTTTACCAAGTTCAGTCCGGGCAAATGGAACAGAGAGCAACAAGTCATCATTAGAATGCAAAGAATAGGAAGCAAAACTTAATATCAGTGTAAAGGCAATTGTGACGCCCCTGTTAAAAATTTAAAAGTCAGTTTTTTTTTTTTCCTGCTACATTTACCGTCCCTCTGTGGCAATGCTGCAACTGAGTATCACTTTCTGTAAGAATCCTGAACTATTTAGTTATGGCTCTCATTTTATATTTTTGTTTGCAAGTTTTTTTCCACTCTATGTTTGTTGGATTTTTTTTGTTTTTTCCCTTACTACTTTACTTATCTCTGTTGCATATTTTTCCTTCTGCTAGGTTTTATTCTCAGTTTGGGATTTGGTTCCTATGTTCATTTTATGCTAAAACAATTTTAATTTTTAGCACACATTAGTATTTGCTCTGGACTTTAGACCATTGGAATGCATGAAAAATATTTGATCAAAATCCTTCCATTATATCTCTCTGTATTTTTAGGGTCATTGTCCTGCTGGAAGGTGAACCTCCACCCCATACTAAAATATGTTGAGGCTTCTACCAGTTTTCCTTCCAGGGGCACCTCGTTTTTAGCTCCATTTAATTTATTTCCACATTGACCTGCTTCTCTGCAGCATGCAGCTTCCACCACAATGATTCACACATAGGGTAATGTACTCAGTAGAAGTGCTGTAGATGTACAAGTTTTTTTTGTTTCATCCTGCACACTGGACCGCTGAAAGCCTTCTCGAAATAAAGATTGTATTACTGCATTAACAACAGTGGTACATAGATTCTTCCATCTGAGCTGTTGATCTCTGCAGCTCCAGAGTTACCATGGTCTTCTTGACTCCTCTGATTATTGCTCTCCAGTCAGTTTGGGTAGACTTTCATGTCTTGGTAGGTCTGCAGTTGCTCCATCTTGTGTCCAGGTTCAGATGATGGATTAAGCAGAGCTCTGTGGACAAAGCTTGGGTTATGGTTTTAAAACCTAACGCTGCCTTAAAATTCTTCACAGCTGTCTGCTATGGGACTTGTTCTACAGTCTTAACTAACAAACCTCTGAAACCTTCACAGAAGAGCTGGATTTATAGAGATAAAAAATTAAAACATGTGGGTGTCACAATTTGGTTATGGTTTGTTGACCCAAAAGCAGAGGCAGGGAGGCAGAGGTGAATTTCTTGAGGATTTAATGATGAGTATACTGAAAACAGAGGCAGGTTATCCAAAAACGAAAACAGAGTCCAAATAAACAGGAAACCAGGAGTCCAAAAATTCAAAAATCAAAACATGAAAACTAATCAAAATGTACCAGAAAACATTGAGACATCAGGGGGATCAAAATCACAAGGAGGAAGGCTCAGGGAGACGGAGTTGGAGAAAGTTTGATGAGGACCCAGCACTGAGGAATTGAACAGAGGGTGTATTTATGGGAGACTGAAACAAAGAGGGGACTAACGAGCAGATTAGGAGCAGGTGTGAGCAGAGCAGAAACAAGAAAGGGGCAAGGAGAAAAAGGAGAACTCAAGAGGGCAGCAGAGGGCAACAAATAAAAACCTGAGAAAGGAAAATAACCAGAAGTCACAACAAAAATAAGAATTAAACCACTAAGACTATAAAACATGGAGTAAAGCAAAACTGAACACTAAAAAGAAAAGCATAACACAACCAAGACTAAGACAGTAACTGAGAAAAAAACCAAAGAACACAACAAAATAAGAATTAAACCACAAAAAAATAGAAAACAAGGAGCAAAGCAAAACTGAACATCCAAAAGAAAAAATCCTAACAGAAACAGAACTCTAACAGTGGGATGGTACCAAGGCACTTCTAATGGGAACAACACAGTAAAAAATTTGGTGTTAAAAATTCAGAGTTAACCTATTTAACTATAAATGGAGTATATACAACCATACTGAGTGTAAATCTGCTCAAGTGTTGGAGTTAATAATCAGTGTCAAATTTGACAGCCGTGTAGTGTAACTTTTACTCTATATGGTGTTAATTACCCACCAGTCTCTGAGAGGTCTTCTTGATTTTGGCACTAATATGAGTAAAATTAAATGACACTAACTGTAAGGTAAATTTTACACTAATTTAAAATCATCTGAAACATTTTTATAAATTCAGCTCTGTATGTGTTAAAGTAATACTTGTTTTTTGGAATAAAGGGAGCTGAATGCAAATGCACACCGTGCTTTCTTTCATTTGGTGTCCCTTTCTTAATTTTCCTTTTTTGCATGTTGCTCATAACCTCATCGTATAAATGTATACTTGATCATCTATGTTTTTGCCAATAAAGTTCTTTCAAACCTAAACAAAAAAAGTTCACAACAGATCTTTAGCGGGCAACCTAAACTTAAGGTCTGCAAACTTTACACAATGCCTTCGATTTATCCCCTCTGAGTTCTAATCCTAACGTTGTTTGATGAGAAACCCAAACCTCTGGTAGGTTGATTCAATCTAACGTCAATATATTCCAGTAGGTGTATAGAAATGGTGCCGTCCTGCCCGTGCAGTGCGGTACTCTTGAAATAATCTGCAAAGTGTGAACTGTGGAAATATAATTTGATGAGCACATTTACACCATTAGATCCTGCACAGTTACAAATGGTCAATGTCCATCACTCCCAAAAAATCCTAGTTCTTGGAAAATGTTCTCGCACTGAAAATATATTCTGCATGGTTAAGATAAATTATAAATAGCTCCCCAGTGCCGGCATAAAAGGGAGAAAGCTGATGTAGAGCACTTAGATCGTGAGAATCCATCTGGAAGGTGAAGAACAGCCTCCAGATGTTGACTCCACCTTCACATCTGTCTACATTGACACTTGCACTTTGAAACACTTTGACCTCAGATATGTGGCGGAGAACAGAAACAGCTACTGATTGATGAGATCTGGGACTGATGACAGCTCCCTGGTGAGAAGCTGGCTTCTTTCTCACATGGTGACGGCTCGTACCCTGCAAACAGAAAATAACCCCATCACCCAGCAGCTGGAGTCAGGGTCAGTTTGATAGTTAGCTGCCATTCCTCCTCAGTTAAAAGGAATCCATAAGACACAAGGATGTATCCCCCCTCATTTTCCATAAGAAGAACACAAATTCATTATTTCATTAATTTGATACAGGTGTATTCCCATTAACCATGTTCAGTTAGCGTGCATGCAGACATGCTAGAACAGCGGAGGGTGGTCAGTACTTTATTCCTGTAGAAAGGATCGGATCATGTGTTTCATGTGACATAATATCCTTTTGGGGGACGGTTCCATCCGATCCAACAAAAGAACGGCTCATCCCCCTCCTCCCCCTCCGCACTCATCTGGAAGTTAATAAAGGTGAGCCTTAGAGCTCCTACAGAACACTCTCACAAGAACTCCCTGCCTGATGCCAAACAACACCAACAGAAACATGCCTGCTCCTAAAAAAGGAGGTAAGAATGAACTCCTACCTGAACCAACTTGCTCCTCCCACTAGTGAAATAATTCAGCTAAATGCAAGCTACAAAAATTAACCTTTATTGTAATACTCCCCTCTTTAATCTAGTTTTACCTGCTTTCCTTTCATGCTGTTATTTTTTTACACTTTATTGCACATTTTAGGTCTGTTTTTGAATAATTAGTTAGATTCTGTTTAGTTTCTAATTCCATCTTATTTCCTTCACATAATGCCTTTTTTTTTCTTTGTACAGTATATAAGCTTTTAATTATTTGTTTGTGTTCTATGTCTAAAGTATGGCATATTTTATATCATTATGTCTTTATGTACTTTCTATCAGTCTCACTAACAGCTGGGAATAATTTCTTTAGTTCAAGATTTTATCTGACTTGTTTTCTCCTTTTTTTCTTTCTTTATTCATTTAACTTTCCATTTTTAATGCTTGTTTGCATTTTTTTACCGTATTATCTTATTTGTTACATTTTACTGTATGAAAACTGCTCTTTGAATAAAATCTGCATTATTTCCTTAATCCTTAATTTTATGATTTTACTGATACTCTCTTTGGTTTCCACTTATCAAGATAACCTCCAAAGATTACTTTTCTTATTGTTTCTTTGTTATATAAATCTGTGAGGGCTTCAGAGGAAACAAATCTTCTCATTGTTGCTCAGAACAGGGAGCCATTCTGAATCAACCCCTTTTTGCATGAAAATGAGAATCACTGTGTTGTGCAGCTTAAATACTATTCAATGATCTGGCCAAACCCATTTAAATTTACATTTACAGAGACAAACAGTCACATTTTGAACAAAATGTTCTTTTGATATCTTTACTCTGGCATATTTTTTTTACTTTAGCTTGAGTAATATTATTAGGAAGTATTTATATTGAGTAAAATATCTGGCTACTCTAACAGTGAGTACCTTTATTGAAATATTCCAGGTTTGGACAAAATGAACAAGCAAGAAACATACATGCAATTTATGCTAGAGTGAAACATCTTGTTCTACACAAGCTTTGTTGACTTACCGTTGTTTTCTATCTGCTAGGCTAATTGCATTCATTTTTACTTCAGTACAGCTGATGTTATTATTAGATATATTTAGTAATGCTAAAATACAATATATTGCTAAAAAAATATATTGGTTCTCGTAATCAAATCAACTAATTTGTCATTTTTTCCATGGCTGCAGATAGTTTGGTGTAGGAAAACTTGACTGGTCTACAAAAAATCCTGACATCCACTTTATAAAATACAATCAGTGTGAAGTAGAGCGGAGCGTTAATTTCTAGGAATTTCCCAGCAAATATTAAAATGTAAATGATTACAGAATAGTGAAAGTGGGGATCCATCAATGAATCTGACCCTTTAGATGAAGAACAGGATGTCAACAATCTTTATAGACCAAAGACTTTTGGCCCTATATTGTAGATAAAGTAATGACGGTAAGTATCGTTTATTTTTTGTATGTTTTGTATCTTCTGCTTCAATTTTTTATCAATGTATTTTGAATATTTTTTTCATTTTAGTCTTTAATGTACCCAAATTTCAAAAGATATTTATATTTTTGTCCATTGCTCTATTCTATTTAATTTCCCTTTGGGGTTGAGAATTTTTTTTTTTCGAATTGAATAAAGCTAAATTATATTTTCATTATCTATTTTGTTTTTTGCTACTTTTTACCTTTACTTAAATACAGAAATGTTGAAGTATTGCTCATCTAACATGAGAAACTTTGGCTGCTTTCCCCTCCTCTGTCAATAGGTGACTGATGATCCTTTGCTGTAGAATCAAAAGGTTATTTCTGTGATTTTTTTTATATTAACCGCTGATTTTTTTATTTTCTTTTTAAAAATCTCAGTCAAATCAACACTTTACCACATCATGCAACACTGAACTTGTATCTTTACTTAAATAAGACTTGTACTCATTGAAACAAACAAAATAAGTATCTTATATTTCCATGGCAGCATTAGAAGATAAGAATGAGATAGGTGGGAATGTAATTTGAAAAGCAAAATTTGCATGAATAAAAAATGGTGAAATTATTGTAAAAAAAAAAAAAAAAAAAATACTATGTTTCTGTTAAGTTATGTGGAAAAAGATATTTTGGTATCAACCTTTTTTTTTGTAATGCTAACCATCCCAGGTCTAACATGTGATTTACTGCACAGCACTTTGTTTTATTACCAGTTTTATTACACCGTTTATTTGCCGCTATGCAATGTCCTCATGCTCGCCGTCCCACTCAGAGCCAAACATCCGTCCTCAACATGGATCCTGACTGTATTTCCTCCGACCATTAATCATGTCAACAAATAGCATGACTTACTTGCTACTGAGAACCCCCATAACACACACACACACACACACACACATACACACCGCTGCTGGCGTGGGTCTTGGTGTCACATCCTAGTTTCACATCCCATGTTTTTATCCGTCTTGTATTTTAACTTTACATTTAGGCCTACCTTTTTTGAAGACCTTTTGTTTCCGTTTTTTTGTTTTTTGGAAGATATTTTTCCAATCCATGTCTGGCAGCTGCATAGCCCCAGTTGATCCCAATCCCACCGCTGGCTGCTGTAGTAATGAAGTGTGAAATGCTGCCCAGTAATAAACCTCATATTGGAGTTATTTATGTTCGCTTGATAAAAGCAGGAAGTAACACAAAATCCTTGTTAAGTCAGTGATTGCATTCAGAGTTTATTTATTTGTGAGAATTGCAGCCTGTCATGAAGGATCCAAGAGGAGTTTCTTTATTCCACTTTAAGAAGCTTCAGAATGAAATCATTTTCCCAGAATCCTTCAGCCTGAGTCTACCCTGAAGTTCACAGGTCTCACCATCTCCACCCCATCCTCTGATGGGCTTCCAGCCAGGAAGACGTGACACCTGACAGAAACACCCTGGGATAAGACAGGATCACCCCCCTTCTTCGTGTCTCTGTCCTCTGCTCTTGCTGTCTCAGTGGGATGTTTTGTAATCAATCTGCCCAGATAATTTCGCCGTGTCCCACTGAGACGGGAATCCGGGAGAGGAAAGAGGCCGCCGTCGCTGCTGTCCAAAACAAACAGTTCTTATAAATCCACTGAAGATCAACCGCTGACCTTTTACCAGGATTGTGCTGAGCTGCTGATTCTCGTGAACATGTGTTCAGACTGATCACGGTTGATCCGTGCCAAAATCTGTCCAAATATAATCAAACACTGCGAGTTCATAACATCAAACCTTATTTGAGAGATGCCTTTATCAAGAATCTATCTATTCAACATAACTTTAAATAACACACATCCTCTTTGTAGGTCTGGCGCCCTTAAATACGCCTCAGACGTCCACCCTGCCAAGCGTCCTTCATGTCTCTATGATGACAGGTCATCAATCATTTCCACCCGGCCTTCCTGCTGTTCTATGGAAGATGTTGGATATTTTTTGTCTTCCATCTCACCACCAGCTTCACATCTCACTCATTTTCCTCCTGACCTTTTTTTCTGTAAAGGAGCTTTTCTTTTGCATTTTCTCTGGTAATGAATGCGAGCAGAGAGAGAGGTTAAATAAGACTGATGAAGGGATCTGTCTGCAGGCCCTTCTGCTGTCTGCTCGCCCATTTTCCAACAGCCTCCCACCTTAATATTCTGCACCATCTTGACCGCACTTCGTCTAATTCTCAACATTATGAACACCATGTCTCTGTACATTCTTTTAATGCTAGGGTTTTATGTATCAAGCGGTTTATGGCTTATTTTTTAAATATTGCAAACATCACCTCAGATAAAGAACAACAAGTTTCAGGTTACATCTCTGGATCACTATACAGCGATACTTCAGTGCACTGATGTTTGCATAACAACCACAGCGTTTCAGTAAAGTCAATGTATGGACCTCAGTTCTTTTCTTTTTCTTTTGCTGCTGTGTTTGAGACCCGTATTTTGAACCAGTTTGGGCTCATCTTCAAGTTTATGTACAAGTTTATATTTGTCTAAAAATTACAATTTCAACAGAACGACTGCAAAGAATCGAAGGCATATTGCACCATGTGTGCAAAAGCTTAGATATTATTATGATTCAAATTAAATATTCTTTGATGGTTTGTTTTGATTTGTATGAGTCAGCTTCCCTCATATCTGCTTAGTAATATTTCCAGCTCTACCAAGCAAAAGTAATTTACCGGGTTGTAAAGATATCTCTTTTCCACGTAATCAAAACTTGTAATGCATATATTTAAAACTCAGACATAGATTCTTCTACATCAAAATGTTGTTAAAGAACTTAGCGAGATTTACTTCTTCTGGCACGGGTGTTTTCTCCTCTGGCTTCTCAAAGAGGTTTGTATGTGAGAAGAAAATATCTGCGCCAGCATTAATTATGAATGCAGAAACAGCATTTTTATTGGAAGAGGGATGATGCTGGAGGGAAGGAAGTATTTTGTAGTGTTAGCAGAGTTTTAACTCTGGTCTGAAATTGAAATAGTGTGCTGTTGAACTCCGACAGGAAAAATCTTCCATAACAGGATCTTGGCTGTTTGAGTTCAAGATTCTGGCTTTCATTTGAATCAATGCTCACTTTGGTACTAAAAACAAATCCTCTTCAATAGCAGGATTCTATCAGACACCAGAAGGTTGCCCATTGAACTAAGTCGTTGTTAGAACTGTTCATAACTTTATCCAACAAAAAAAAACATTCCCATCTGAAGTTTCCCTGGACTTTTATTCTGAATTATGAGCCAAAGCTTCTAGTTTTGGAAGCCTTGCTTGTAGTATTTCTTAGGATGGCCTCTTTCTTTGACGTCTACTCCTTGGTCTGAGGTCTGAAGTCTGAAGCTTCTCAGTCAGGTTGGGAACCTTTTACTGTCTTAAAATTTAATTCCTAATTAATTCATTCATTTCTTAATGTCGGTTGAGAGTTAATATTCTAGAACCATTTGGTCTGTCCATGTAGTGGACAGATCACATGTACCACAGTAGGTTTGCAGTATTATCAGTCTGGATCTCCAGATCAACTACAGTCAGCTTCCATTCTTTAGCAAAAGATGAAACCTGGCATCAATATTTATGGCTGAATGTCGTTGCCACTTTCTGGATGTCATGCCCTTGTCTACATGATCTGTGACATGCAGTCATTCCCTGCATTCTCCAGATGTTCTTGGTTCTCCTCCACAGTGTAAAGGCTGGTCGATGCTTCATGCATCTACAGTCTGCCCTGAAATGTAAAGCATGTAATGATAACTTCACCATGCATACATGATCTTTGCCGCTTTTCGCCGCAGCGCTCAATATTCTGGCAGACTCCAGTGGGCAGTGTGGGACAACGACCACAAGCTTGCAACTCTATTCCAGTAGAATGCACCGTTTTTCCTTTCCATTTTTAAAGCCTCTTTTTGTCAACCAAGAGTAACAGTTATTTCTTTCCTTTTTGTCGGCCATGTTCTTCCACACAGAACTCTCTGCATGATAGTCTCAGTGATAGTCAATTTGTGTCAAGCATAAATGACTCTTAATGTCGTTTGTCTTTAGCAAAGAAGCAGATGAAATGCCTGGTTTTATTTTGCCGATCCAGGTGTTAAAAAGGGTTTTGTAAAATGGGACGTTTCATATCGACTCTGAATTGTAGTAATAAGAACCAGGATTTCTTTATAGATCAAATTTTTGGCACAGTCTTGCACAAGTCTTGCTGTAACTCTCTTGGCAGCCTTCTTGGTCAGATTCAGTATTTTTCTTTTTATCCATTTTTGAAATAAATTAAAAAAAATAGCATTTTTTTCACATCTTCAGGTTTCATGTATTTTTTTCGATCATCAACAATTATTTATTCTCTTGATGCCATTGTTTACATGTGTGATCTATATACCTCTTCTCTAATCTATTCTAGCTTAATACGGCTTGAAACACATTACGGGTATAAATGCTTAATTTTTATTAGAGTTAAATTTATATATTTCTTTTTTCAAAGTTATTAATTTTTTATCTTTGTTTCTTTATTTCCTGCAAAGAACTTTAAATGATCATGTCCATGACTCATACTGTCTGAATAAACTTACTTTGTGTAGTACAGCTGAGCTTTACCTAATATTCATCAGATTGTATTGTATTGTATTGTAACAAACCCTAAATACTGAAACTGAATAAAAGTTTATTACGTGAAGTTAGTTATTATTGTTGTTTTTTTTTGTTGTTGTTTTTTTAATCAGTGTATTTATCATATATATGTAAAAGTTTAGTTTTCTTCATCACAATAAAAACAGGACTTTTAGCAGTGACTGTACTGCTGTCTGATCTGTTCATAGCTCATCATTCGAGGCATCTTCTGGTTATGCTGTTGCAGCTTTAAATAACCTAGTGCTGCCATTTTATTTTTATAGAGCAGAGGCTTCCTCCTTTATTTGTTCCACCAAACTTATTGTTCAGTTTTCCTTTGTTTAAACAGTCATTAACTTGAATGTTAATGTAACCCTGGCCTGTAGAGTCTGGGAAGGAGCTTTTCGGGTCTCTTTTAACCTCCTCTGATCATAGCAGGTCTGACCTTGTGCTGATTTTACCAGAATCTTAAATCTAGTGAAGATTAGCATCAAACTCAGAAGGTTTCCATCTATTAATGATTGTTCTGTCTGTCAAATTGAGAAACCAGCAGTTACTTACTAATTACTATAAATATTGCTGATGCCTTTGTGTCCTCAAATTGTGTTTAACACATGCCTGCAGGTTATAAAGCAGCAAACTATCAAATCTGTTTCTAAAGATCAGTTAGACAAACTGAAAAAACAACCATCTTCTTAAGGATTAGGTTGATATGATAACGAGAAACTTTCATTATTCCTTGTTTTTCATTATGAGCATTTCTCCAATAGTTCAAAGAAAATTTTTCAGTTTTCAATATTTATTTATTTTATAGCCTCTTGCAATATATAACATTTAATTTTATTTTAAAACTTACTTTAATTGAAACATTTATCATATTATAATTTATCTCCATTCAATTTTTCTTTTTGCATCGTGTTTATGTATTTTTGCTTTCAGTTTTTATCTTATGCTCTGCAACTGTGATTCCTGTACAGCACTTTGGTCAACCCCGGTTGTTTTAAATTCGCTTTATAAATAAAGTTTGAGTTGAGTTGATTTATACTCAATGCACACATAGTCTCTGTACACATAAATAAATATTTATATCCTGTATAGCACTTCTGGATAGATGCAAACTACATTTCGTGGTTTAGTACTTGCAACTGTGCAATGACAATAATGTTGAGTTCTATTCTATTCTGTTCTAAAATGTTTACGGGAATTGTCCGATTATAACCATTGTAAATGATTAAACTATAATTTGACTCCTTGGAAATCCAGCATGAAGAATCAACAGAAGGTTTAACACTTCTGCATACGTGCTGCAAAACAAAGGGGATCTTACAAAGAATAGAGCCTGACAGATGAGAGAAAGAAAGAGTTTTTTTTTTTTACACATTTCTCAAAATGCTAGAAGCCAGGGTAACTCAGGCAGAAAGAGCAGATCTACTACTGTGTTCTTTGTGAACTCAGATCTCTGGTTTCCTTGTGCTGAGATCTGATTTTTAGTGCTTCATGAATTGGTGCTCCGGCACTGATCTAGCTTCTGCTTTTGCAGAGCAGCAGGTGATTTTCTGCAGATGAGTTGCTGCAGCTCCAGCCTTAAAGCGATAGTTCGGTATTTTTGACATGAATCTGTATGGCATCCCCATCACCAGCGGCATGCAATCACACTGACTTACCCCTGGCAGCGTCCTGTGAGCAGAGTTATCGTCCAGTTTTGGTCAAGCCAAAAGTAGTCCGGCAGGTTTGCTAGACCCAGCGAAATAAAACGTTTCTCTTCCCAAAACATTATGTGTTCAAAAGAGCGATATTTTCGCATCCCAAAAACATTGTAGTGGAAAAAGTCACACGTCGTTATCAATTGGTCCTATTTTCTCTCTGTTCGTATCAGTGCGCGCCGTCATTCAGACAGCGAGCCCAACAACAGCCATGTCTCCTTCCGCGGCGGAGGGAGACATGGCTGTTGTTGGGCTCGCTGTCTGAATGACGGCGCGCACTGATACGAACAGAGAGAAAATAGGACCAAGTGATAACGACGTGTGACTTTTTCCACTACAATGTTTTTGGGATGCGAAAATATCGCTCTTTTGAACACATAATGTTTTGGGAAGAGAAACGTTTTATTTCGCTGGGTCTAGCAAACCTGCCGGACTACTTTTGGCTTGACCAAAACTGGACGATAACTCTGCTCACAGGACGCTGCCAGGGGTAAGTCAGTGTGATTGCATGCCGCTGGTGATGGGGATGCCATACAGATTCATGTCAAAAATACCGAACTATCCCTTTAAAGTAACCATCAAGGCAGCAAATAATGTTTTATTCTTAAAGGAATATTACACCCAAAACATGATTAGCCTTCATTTTCTACTCACCATCATGCTGAACAACACTCTGGAGTACTTTTTTGATATCTCAAATTGGACCACAAAAAACGTGTCAATATTCCTCCATACTGCTCGTCCAATGTATTCCAAGTGTCCTGAGTGGGTAGCGTCCAGAATTTACTCGAAACAAAGTCATTTAGAATGTTTTTAGAGCATAAACAGTAGTGTATAGGATTTCCTAAAAGCGCGTTCACGAGTCTACGGAAGCCGGCAGACCAAACCAGATGAAAGTGCGCATTCAGCGTCTGCTCTGCCGATAATGCCAGCGTAGAAGAAGAAATGTGCTGTTTACCTGTGCAAAGAAAGAAACAACGAAAGAAAAATGTCTGAGGACTTCAGTGTTGAGGAAGAGCATGAGTTCTTTGCCGAGCTGAATGCGATGGTTTGGTCTGCCGGCTTCCGTAGCGTCGTGAACGCGCATGTGCGCGCTTTTAGGAAATCCTATACACTACTGTTTATGCTCTAAAAACATTCTAAATGACTTCGTTTCGAGTAAATTCTGGATGCTACCCACTCAGGACACTTGGAATACATTGGACGAGCAGTATGGAGGAATATTGACACGTTTTTTGTGGACTTTTATGGACCTTTCTGTCTCGGTCGCCATAGACCTCCATTATTTGAATGTCAGCAGACAGCAAGAAGCCTCCCAGATCTCCAGATGCATTTGAGATATCAAAAAAGTACTCCAGAGTGTTGTTCAGCATGGGGGTGAGTAGAAAATGAAGGCTAATCATGTTTTGGGTGTACTATTCCTTTAATGACTTTGTTATGAGATCCAATCTAATATACCTACAGTACTGTAACTTAACTAATAGCGTTATAACCCTGCATTCTTTTGACATTTCCAGGAAGAAAAGGAAGCAGTGCTGCAGAAGGTAAATAATTCAACATTCTTTGTCTCTTATTTATTTGTTTATGAGATGTTTGTAAATTTGTTTTATTCTTCCTTTAGAAAAGTTGCCACCGTATGAGCCAAATATTCCTGAGCCAACTACCAGAGCCGATTTCATGAAACGTAAGAATTCCCAAAGTTCTTAAATATATATTTTTTAAACCAAATATTTACATGTGCTATATAGATTAAAACATAACCGCTTTTTTTCACTGAAATTAAATCAGAACAGAAATTTCTAGTTTTTTTAGACTTAGACTTAGATTCCATTTCTTAATGTGCAGCAGCGACCAAATGTAAACAGTGTCGGAGAAAAAACATGGTGCAAAAAAAGCATTGATACTGAAGTTCAATGCATCAAATGCATCGAATGCTGACAAGATTCTTCCTAGAGGGAAGATCCTGGTCTTTGCACTGCCATTATCTATTTTGTCAGATAGGATTAACAACATTATTTATATCTGTTTATTGTGAGAAACAATAAATAAATGTAGAGTGCACCAAGGACAATTAACAATGGCTGCTGCACCCTAAATGCACCAGGGAGCGTTATCACAGATCCTTCCTCCCAGCAGCTGTAAGACTTTATAACCACCACTGTTCCCAACAACCTAAACAAGTTGTTACAGTCATGCTGATTTTGCATAGTTTCTTTATTAGTCAGCTAAATAACATGCTGCTGTCCTTTTGCACATCTCTGATTTTGCATCTATTTTCAAATATTTATTACTGTAAAAATGTCCATAGCTGTATGTTGGTTATTTTTTTCCAGATGAACAGTTTTATATTGTTAAAACACTTTACAGTACAGTATTTTATTTGTTAAACTTTTCACTACTATGTTATTCTTATACATTTTTCTAAGGTCCACCTTTGTGTGAAAATATTATCTATAATCTTTTCACTGCTGTAAACACCAGAATTTCCCCATTGTGGAAGAATAAATGGATTTTTTATTCTATTCTATTCTATTCTATACCCTTTGAACCTGAGGTCTTCCTTTTAAGATACATCGTCATAATTACTCAACAGTGATAAAATATGCATTAATGACAAAGAATATAGCAAATCAAATTAAACTGCAGACTCTAGGCTACAAACTAGCACAAACCCTTTTAAAATGTCTGAAAAAAATGAAGTTATATGCAGATGAAATAATCAAATTAAACTCAAAAATTTAACATTTTAAGGCACTTTACAATTAAACAAGATCATACAGTCAGATTGGTTCAGTTTTCTATTCAAGGAAAACCAGCTGACTGCATTGACTCATTGACTTGAATACAAACCCTCACACTAAGCATGTTTGTAGTGACAGTGGAGAGGAAAAACTCCCTTTTAACAGGAAGAAACCTCCAGCAGAACCAGGCTCAGTGTGAGCGGCCATTTCCAAAGGCCGACTGGGGTTCAAGGAGACAGAAGCAGAGATACAAAAAGCAGCTGTACAAGGCAGCCCCATCCAGGAAACAGGATAAGAGAGATCATATCTCTATTAATTTTCATCAGAACTCTGGCTGCAGCATTTTGGATCAGCTGAAGGCTTTTAACTACAGTTTGTGGACTTCCTGATGGTAAAGATTTACAATAGTCCAGCCTTGAAGTAACAAATGCATGGACTAGTTTCTCAGCATCAAACCTGGATGATATATTTCAAATTTTTTTTTGCAGTATTCCAGAGATGATAGAAGAAAATTCTAGAAATAAATGATGTAAAACGTAAATACACAGCATAATAGCAGCCTATGAAAGATTCTCCACATTCAGAACCCCGGCACCAAACCAGCACTAAATATATATCAAATGAAAGCAGGCATTACTACTGATGATCACTTCTCAACACAAAATAACTGAGACAAATATACTTTTAGAGGAAAAAAGAATAAAGCACAGAGAGAACACAACATTAATAGGAGCAATTCTTTTAAAAATGGATTCATAAAGAAAAGGAACACAGAGAAATATAAAAGCATCGGGTGAGGAATACTTTTTATGCACAAGAAAAAAAAAACTTTCTGAAACCATCAGCAGGCTCTGGAAAAGTTATCATTTCTTCTGGTTGTTTGACTAATCTTCATGGCAGGATTGGATAATTAGATTTATTTGATTTTGGTTCTGGTAAACCTCTGAATCATGGTCCATAAGTAGGAGCTTTGGCACGGTTCTTGTGGCAAGGGATACTTTCTATGCAAAGAATGAAAACTGCTCAGGATGTTTTTTATAAAGACATGTTTTAAATGGATGTTTTTCTCATCAGGTAGCATAAAAAGATTAAATGCAGCCCTCTGTTGAAGTAGTAGTAGTTAAGTCATATTTTAAACCCAAGTTCTGCTCTTACATCCTCAGACTGGTTCCCTGTTTCTCTGGATGATAAAACTGCACAGAAGCTGTTGTGGATTTCTGAGAGCAGCTCCAAAGTGGCTCGTACATCTGATGCAGTCTGTCCTTATCCAAACAGGCCTGAGAGATATGAGGATTCCCCACAGGTAATGTACACCGATAGTGATGGTTATAGTGGTGATTACGTTTACTCTCTATAGTCTGCAACTCCATGTAATCACTCAGTTCATCAATGTTATCATGATTCCCAGAAGGTTTTGAACAGCTCCCCAAAATTTCTCCTTTTTTCAGGTGCTTTGTAAGGAAGGCTTGATTGGCTTCCGAGGCTATTGGGAGGTGGACTACGAAGGCTGGGTGGTTATTGGGGTGGTGGCAGAGAGTGCGCCACGGAAAGGTCAGGAGGTGTCCTGCGGTCTTGGGGAAAACAAAGGCTCCTGGGGGGTCGGCTGGTCAGGCTCCTGCTACCAAGTCTGGCACAACAGCGACAACATTGATGTCCAGCTCCCGTGTTCCTGCACCATAGGGGTCTATGTGGACCAGCCGGCCGGGGTCATCAAGTTTCTCTCGGTGGAGGGAGACTCTCAGAAGGAGGTCCGGCTCATCCACAAGTTCAAAGCCAAATTGGAGGAGAAAGTTTTTCCCGGGTTCTGGATCGGCACAAATTCCTTCTGTCTCATCCGGAAAAAAGATCAGTGACACTCTAAAGGGAATGGCATGTTTGGATGGGGCAGTAGGGAAGCTTTTAACGGAAAGTGCTCAGAATGTGTTCAACTGAATACATGGTGACATCTTTGGAGTTTATTTCATTGAATGCATGAAAACATTTTAAAATGAAGGTCTGTTTATACCTTTAGGCTTTTATTTGTTCTTGTTCATCTAATTATGGAAATAATAAAGTTGGCTGTTTTTATCAAAATTAAATAATTCAACTTTTATTTCTGTTGTATTGTGATTGATGTAGTTTTTATGTCCTTATTCTTTCAAAGCCAGTCAGGAATTGTAATCAACTCACAGGCTTCTTCATTAGAGGCTTTCAGGGTTTTATTTTAAAGGTACACTGTGTGATAAATACAAGGAGTTACTGACATAGATGATCTATTTATAGTATATTATTTATTATTATCTATCAATGTAAAGTGTCCTATTTTATGTGAGCTTTGCCTTAGAAAATGCTATTTATAATTACATAGGATAGGAGTGGGTTTGTATTTGTGAGGCAGACATCTTTGCTACAACAGCACAGAGCTGACAAACTAGTTACTTCAGAGATCACCATTATGCTCAAATGAGACTGCAGCAAGTGTATACACCATCCTACACAGACTTATGAAATAAAGTTTATAAAGTTATCCGTGTCAACCAGACACACATTGACCAGGCACACCTGAAATAATCAGTCTTTCCAGTAATGAAAGAAAGGAAACAAAGGAGCCTGCTGACGTTCAGGAAGTAGTGGATTTGGGCATAGAGCCCTTTAGGTCATTTGATTTCTTTTTTGAGCCATGGTCTATAAATGTTCCATAAGGTAGAAATGGTTTCTTTGGGAAGTCAGCTGTAAAGTTTAACTGTAGCCTACTTTATCCAGAAGTATTTCCTTGCATCTTTGGGATCATTGTCCTTCTGGAAAAACAACTATTCTCCCCTTTCTCAACCTGCTAGCTTAGGAAGGATAAATACAATCCCTGAGAGCTACTATTCTGTATTTTTTGGTTGCATCCCTTCTTAAAGCGCTACTGCAGGTCATTCTTCCCTGCTGCAACCAGACTCTACAATGAAAAACTACAACAAAAAAAAACTATAACGGCAGTAAAAAAAAAAAACTACAACGCCATTTGTGTTTCAACTACGAGAGTTATTGATCCCGGAAGTCCAAATCTGTGAATATCTTTCTAACTTTACCAAAGAAAGGTTTTGCGTTCTCACGCAAAAGGTTTTGCGTGGAAACGCAAAACTTTGCGAGGTAACGCAATACTTTTGCGAAGGAACGCAAAAGAAAAAAAAATTCCCCATGTCCCCTAGGGGGCTCCGTATTATTGCGTACGTGCCTGTAGTGGCAAATTAAGTATTACAAGGATAGAAAAATTTGGCTTTGTGTCTTTTTATTTTTTTACTTGCCTTTCAGGGCAGAAAATAATACAAGAAAAAAAAACTTTTTCTTTTCCAGATTTTTTTCGCTCTTGCCTTTCAGGGCTTCCATAGGGACATATATTAGCCTAACAGCAAAAATGTATCTTTACTTTTCTGGCACACCTGTATGCATAATTTTAATGTTGTTTTATTTGAAAAAAAAAATCCTCAAATTTATCATATTTAAATATCAACACGGCTGAGTGATGATGCACCAGAGGTAGTTAAAAAAATAAAAAATAACTGGTGTATTGTCAATTCTTCACTAATAAAGTGCAACACCGCCACCTGGTGGCATATAAAAACACTACATTCCCATGTTGCTGCTCACAGAACAGAAAAAGACAACACAGAGTTGATACTCTTGGTGATTGCTCCTTTATTTGAAACATTAAAGGATTTAACGGAACATTTATTTCTGAAATATCCAAGATGCACCATGTTAAATTTTAACATCCGTCTCTCTCTCTCTTTCAAACAGTCACTTTCTCTTTCATTCAAACATTTTAACATATCCAGAGCAAATGTGGAAAAAGGAATAATACCACCCCCCCGGACATATAGCCGAATCATTCATTCATTTGTGAAATAAAAAAATAGGCATGTAATGAGAAGGTGCTGGTGTCCTCTGCTCACGTTTACAAAAAAAGCAACAAGCTTTGTGTTAAAATATGATTTTTACTCTTTTACATAACAGAGGGGAAACTTAGTGAAAATGTTGGTCATTCCACTCTAACGATATGAAGTGATGAGCAAATTTAACTAGAGTTTTTTCAAACGATTAAAAAGAAATTTCTCCTTAATTCAAAGCAGTAATTTTATAATTAAAAAAAACTATTACATTTATGGTGAAAATAAGATTTTTTTCATTTTTTTTTTATAAAAATGGTGGCTTTACTGATGTTTTATTATACTATTGGTTCCATGAGCTTGAAATTATTTTTTTAAACTTGGCTGCATTTGCTGTTTTCAAGATTTGCTACTTTCAAGATACTGCAACACATTCTAGATTGCACCCTGATTGTACCGATAGCACAAAGATGATCTGAGATTTGAAAACATGAAGCTTAAGTTACTGCAGATCTCCCACCTATTCAAATCCCCCATTTTAACATAGTTATGCTGAACGATCAGCGCTCCATTTATTGAATCAAGCAGCAGGACCAGGGTTAAAAACAATACTGACAAACACTATTAAACCCCTCTTTAGTGTTCTCTCTTCGACACATGCCTAAAGCTTAGCAATTACATATTTACTGTTAAAGTAAGCACATACATAAATGCAAAAGCAGCACTTTGAAGAGTTTTTGGAAGCCGTCATTTTTTAAGGTAATCCTACAATTTCTGAGTTTTTTTTAGTGTTAGAGACATCATCTAACGCATCTTTACCCCTAAATGAGTTGAGGTGAGCTGTGCTCTTTGTAGAGCTACGCATTTTTGAAACATAGCTTTAGGAGCGTAGCAAGACTTCAGTACAAATGTGATGCAACTAGTCTTGTGATAATGCTGGAAAAGGGTCACGAAGGAGCAGGACTCCGTGAAGCAAATCAAAAAGAATCTTTTTATTTTTTTTAAATCAGTATTTCTAACCAGATTTTCCCACATTTCTCAGAATTAAAGCAGGATTTTGTCTAATAGTGGCTTATTTAACTCGTTTACTGATGGGTTTGCATCAAAGATCTCATCCCTTCCAGGTTATTTGGCCAAACCGCTCACAGAAATGACCCCCATGCCTGTGCGGCGCTATGGCTCAGTATGCTCCTGACCGCAAGACCGGTCTGAACCAAGTGTTGTTATTGTGGTGGTGGTGGGGGGAGCAATAGTAGTAGTGTTGAAGATGTTCTTAGTGTTCGTGGCATTTCTGCACGACTGTTTTAACCCTGTGAGTTTGCAGATATTCTTAGTGGCTGAAACGATAAACATAGATTGGAGCTTTTACACCGATTCACACGTTCCAGGTTTTCCCCTCCCCCCTCTCAGTGCTTGACAGAGAAGTCCCCAGTGTTGAGCCGGGGCCGTGGCAGGGCCCCGAACATCTCCGTCCCGTCGGTGGCTCCAGGGACCAGCAGGGCCTTCATACTTGCAGCGATGTGCTCCAGGTCGGCGCAGCCCGGCTGGGAAAGATGTGGAGAAAGAGGGATGTTAAAATAGGTGAAATAAAGGTTGTGTTCCTGCTCTGTTACCTAATGTTTGCTGACCTTTTCACTTTTTTATGCTCACATGAGAAACAGGAGTGGATGTTTACAGCTGAATAGGATCTTTGTCTTTAGAGACCATACCATAGCCATAAAAACAAGATTCTGAGCTTAGGAAAAAAAAGTGCTAACTTTTCACCTGTTGGAAATAAGAATGTAGTATTTAGATTTTCAAAGAAATTTTAATTTGGTTTTAATTGCTGCTTAACAACATAAAATACCTCCATTTTAGTGTAAAAAGTCTTCCAATTGAGGAGAAAGTTATCAGACCCCTCCCCTAACAGCTGGTGTTTCCCCTTCAGCTGAGATGACCTATGCTACGTTCACGCCCGACGCAGCAGGCGCGGCAGAAGCAGCGAGTTTACATGCAAAGTCAATGGTTGACGCGCGTCAAGGCGCAGCAAAACGTTTTGAGCAGCAGGCGCAGCTGTTTGAGCAGCTAAAGCTAAAGCGTTGAAGCATCTGACGAGCATGACGCGCCGCAAACGCGCTGCTGCTCCAGATGGAAAACTTGAACTTTTGCTGCCCGACGCGCCGCGACAACCAATCAGAGCAGCTGATCTAGGAGCTGGCAGCGAGACAGACACATCCCTGATGACACAGAGCGCTGTGATCACTCCTCTGAAACAGTTTATTGACGCCTAAATTAACTTAAAAATGCTGAAACCTGCTGACAGAATATGTTCGCTTTTATTATCCTGGTGCCTGCAGTTTGGATTATTTAGATGAAAAACACCTACCAGCCGCCGCGGTGAACCGCGAGGAGGCGACCCGGCCAGAGGCTGCTGTTGAATGGGATTCCTACTGACAGTGCACCGCTGGTATGTGGGAATCTGAGCGGCGCCGACAGAAATAATATTGGAAGGTGGGATTGTAATCTGAATGAACTGACTGCATTGATTAAGTTTTCAGGTAGATTTTCTCACTTAAAAACACATTAAAACTACTTTATTCCCCCTGATCAAAGCAAATATAGCTGCAAGGCAGAGAAAGGATAGTGAAGCTCCGCCCAACGCGCGTCAGACCCACTTTTGCAGCAAAGCTGCTTCAGCCGCACGTCAGAACTAACTGGTACAAGCAGCAAAAAGGAAGCAGCAGACGCGATTTTGATGCTCTTGCTGCGTCCGGTGTGAACGTAGCATTAATCCAGAAGCTCCTTGCAGGATTCTCTTTTTCAGTTTTCAGTCTCTTTCAAGTCAGGTTAAAACCCTTTTGAAGCACAGTCCATTCTCTGGATGAGCAGAAGAGGCTCTAATGCAGCAAAAGATCCCTAACCATAACACTTCCACCACCGTGCTTCAATGCTGTTTGGTTCATGCTGAACTTTTCCTCTCACACAAAATTCAGTTAGCTTTCCTTTGTTTTTTTTTGTTTTTTACATAGCTAAAGTTCCACTGCAGATAGCATTGGGCACCGAGGGTTATACTGAGATAGTTTCCCTGAAAAAAATTGTTCCCCTTGCAGGGAGAACAGAGCCTCTTTCTGCTTTTCTTTCTTTTACATAAAAAGGTATGGACCTAAATCTAAATAAGCGGCCTTCTTAACTGTCAATCATTCTGGTGATATGTTTACGTAAGGCCGTCCTACGTGCTCATCCTGTTAGCCATCGTTCAGGCGTATATCTGTGATGAGCTGCCGTTTCAGACAGTCACTGAAGCTCCCCTTTCTCACCGTGATTCTTTGAAAATGGCCGAGGGTCGTCAGAGAAAAAGTGTCTACGAAGTGCATGAGAAGAAAAGAAAGGCCTCAGAAGAGGCAGATATATCCCAGAATGCTTTGCGCAGAGAGCTCTCCTCCCGATTGGTTGAGTATTTTCAGGCATCCCAGTTTAATTTCAGCTCTGCCTTTTGCTTTTGATTGTTGGAGTTAAGATAATATTTCACTTTTTAACCTGAGTTAAACAGGTTTTTTTGTGATGTTTTGGATCTGCTGTAAAACATTCTGGGGCTATGGCTTAATATAATCGGTTTGTAACCCTGGTTAGTGACTTTAGATCAGTTATAGAGTAAAGATGATGATAAAAACAACATTTATATCTAAAAATTATTGGTGTTGGCTTTTGCTTTACGTCTGCTGGTGATTAAATAAGAAAAATTTTGGTCAAAAAAATTAATCTATTAGGATCTTTACACTTGAGGCTGGATTTAAATCCTCTGGGAATTCATATAAAGTCCTAATACTCCCAGATGAAAAAAAAAAAACACACCGTGATTCAGCCATCAGTCACAGACATGAAGCTGCTAAGTTTCCTCCTCAGGTTTTAGAACCCTTAGCCTCCCTGAACCCTGTCGATGATTTCTTCATTATTTCCCAGAAGGCACTCTGAGCAGACATGTTCTGACCCGACTCCCTGCCTCCAACTGAAACAACCCCCGCTCACCCGTTCTCCGCTGTTGCTGTCGCCCAGAGCGGCTCTGCTGCTCTTGCAGCCCCACACTGGGACGGACACGGGCAGCGAGCGGGCCAGGGCCGTGGGGTGGGCATGGCGGGACGAGAAAGCGTGCTGCCCCATGGCCAGGCCGCGCGGTGGTGGGGGGGCGTCCTCGCTCAGCGAGCCTGGTGAGGATGAGAGGAAGGAACGGTTAAATCACACGTCTGTAAAAACAACAAGCTTTCACGACCGGGTGATAAACGTCCTACCATCAGTGCTCTCTTCCTCTCCGTCGGACTCAAAGAACGGCTCACAGTCCCTGGAAATAGAGTCCTCGTCCATGGAGAAAACACCTGAAACACAATCGCAATGAATCAGACATCTTTTCTCAGAAAAACCATTTACTGAAAAACATTCAGCCGATCCGTATATTCAGAATCCAGCTAATCTTTCAATCTCTCCATATTTTCTGCCCAGTGAGTCGGGCCTTCTTTTACCTTTAGAACTGATACTAATATGTTAAAAAAGAAAAATGTCCATCGACGTTAAGGTCGATATATCATTCCAAGAAATGAGTAAAGTAGGAAAACCTTAAACAGAGAAATGATTCGGATCTCAAAGACACCCTTAAAATGGCAGCTCAGTCATGAAGGTAGGAAGGAACCAGTCCTCCTTCAGAGCTTTCTGTCTCCTCGTTCGTATCCAGCTGCTATGGATTCCAGAACATCAGAACCTTATTCCATCAGCAGGTCTGGAATCTATCCTCTACCTGTTCATCTGTTGAAGTCTTCACTAAGGTGGGAACTTCGCCCAAACGTCCTCACCAGGAGCGTAGAGGTCAGGGCTGTTGGTTCTCACGATCAGGAGACAGTTCCTCAGAGAACAGAGCTTCTAATGGCAGGAAGGAATCCATCATCCCCCAGCAGATTGGCTGCTGTATGAGGGTTTTCTAGTTGGCAGCTCTCTGGAAATCACCTTGAAGATGCTAAAATCCTGATTTCTGTCTCTCAGCTCATTTATTTTGGTGTTTTTCAGACATTCAACTAAAGAAACTGAGCTGATTTTCTTTCGTCTGAAAGTTTCTGTGGAGCAGAAAAATGTTTCCTATTTAATCATCATGTATGTTTCGTTGTTCTTTGCATTAGTTTGGCATTTCTGATGATTTCTAGGCAGAAATAATGAGGAACATGATCTTTAATGTTGGTTCTGGTGTTTCTCATCCTCTTTCACAACACTACATAGATTCTCTCTGAGTTTCAGGTCAGACCGTTTGGTTAACTCAAGCCAAAGCAATCTACACTTGATAGAGTCAAGCAGCTTCTAGCCAATGAAATGAGCTCATTTGGTCCCGTGACACAACGGCTCAGCGCTTTTCCCGGCTGAATAAGAATTTTTTTGTTAAACAGAATTACAAAACGTCAGTTAGCTACTAACAGACAGCTATTAGAGTTTTTTCCGGAAGAAGAGGCCGGCAGCAAACTATTTTTCTTCTTCATTTCTGCCAGCAGCCTGTTTGCTGCCGGCTGCTTCTTCCGGATCAAACCAAGAGCCTTGACAGGGGTGCCGTACTAGCAGCGATCGGGTCAGTTGTTTTACCCCGTCTGATAAGAGAAAAATCTCTAATAGCTGTTTGTTAGTAGCTAACTGACGTTTTGTACTTCTGTTGAACAAAGAAATTCCTCATTCAGCCAGGAACAGCGCTGAGCGCTGTGTCACATGACCAAATGAGCTAATTTCATTGGCTAGAAGCTGCTCGACTCTATCAAGTGTAGATTGCTTTGGCTTGAGTTCACCAAAAGGTCAACACATTTGCGGCTGAATTTTTGCAGCTGAATTTTTTTCTGGTGAAATTTTTCTAGATAAAAATTGAGTAACGAATTCAATGTCCAAAAATTCAGTGTTTAAAATTCTGTGCTAAAAAAATTCAGTGTTTAAAATTCGGTGTTAAAAAAAAATTCAGTGTTTAAAATTCGGTGTTAAAAAAATTCAGTGTTTAAAATTCGGTGTTAAAAAAATTCAATGTTTAAAATTCGGCGTTAAAAAAAATCAGTGTTTAAAATTCGGTGTTAAAAAAATTCAATGTTTAAAATTCGGTGTTAAAAAACATTCAGTGTTTAAAATTCGGTGTTAAAAAAAATTCAGTGTTTAAAATTCCGTGTTAAAAAAAAAATTCAGTGTTTAAAATTCGGTGTTAAAAAAAAATTCAGTGTTTAAAATTCGGTGTTAAAAAAATTCGATGTTTAAAATTCGGTGGTAAAAAAAGGCAGATTCCAATGAGACTGTTTTTCTCCCATAAAAATACTGAAAAAGTTTTGAGTAGTCTTTTTTTTTTTTTTTTTACATGCATACATTGCTCTCTGTGGAATGAATCCATATAAGCTTAAACATTTAAAGTGAATCACTGAAGAAAGATTGATGGTCAACATGGCGGATGTCTCCTTCCACCAAAAACGAGGCATTACCTTTGAACAGCAGCAAACCTAACGTTTGCCCACCTGCGCTTTCGTTTCCGTACGGCCGCCTCTCATCCATGTCTTCCTCCTCTTCCACCTCCTCCCCCTCCTCTAACAGATCTACGATCCCAGCCCGCTGTCTCTCCCGCTCCACCTCCAGAGCGCTCCTCTCCCGTTCCCTCTCCGCGTTGCCGTTCTGCCCGATGCCCTGCTGGCTTGTGTCGTCCGGGCTGTAGATGGACGGGTAGCTCTGGGAATACAGTCTGCTGTTGGGACTGACTCCGCTCACCACGCCGTCGCCGGTGAAGCTCTGTGACATCCAGACATCAGAGACTTGTACTGGTTTTGTATGGGAGCTTTCTTGAAGGCCAGACGAGATGCGACACAAACTGCCTACTTACCCCTCTGTATCCGGTTTCAGAGGTCAAATCAACCAACATCTTGGTTCGTTGCTCTCCGCCGGTTTGCCGCGTGTGCTTCTGGGCCGTCAGCATGGACGTGGAGTGCAGCACGCCGATGTCGTCCATGTAGCGGCGCGCCGACTCGGCCAGGAAGCCCTGACCCCACACACTGTAGGAGAAATCGCACTCCTTCGGGAAGCCGGTGCCGCTCTCCCGCTTCTTCCCTCCCTCGCCTTCCGTCGGCCGGAACTTCTTACAGGCTGTGAGAATGGCCAGATCACAGCCAGACTTCTGGCAATAGGCCTCCGCAGCTGAAAGTAGAGCCAGCCAGCTCTCTTTGTGGTTGTCTAGGATCTCTGGTTCAGAGGAGTGGGTCACAGAGGCCATGGTGGTGCTTTCTTGGAGTCTACAGAGTTTACAGAGATTGGCCTGATCAGATGAGCGACTAAGTCTTTAAAAATGGGGGCTTCAGTGGTTGCACAAAAAATACCGATCTAAGGTGCAAAACTAAACAAGATGTTGCCTTTGGTAGCCGATACGTGTCAGATTTTAATTTGCTGGTGTCAATTAACTTTTAGTTTCTGCTTTAACACAAATTTTATCAAATCATGGGACAGAGGCACCAGGTAACTGAGATATGGTAGGTGGGAGGTGGTGAGAGCCGCGGGAGAGATGTCACCAAGCTGCTGGTGATGCCTGGAAAAACAAAAAAGAATCATCAGTCCAGTCATAGGTTTATATCTTATGTCATTAATGTCAAATCCCTTCATTTTCAAAAATTAACACCAGAGCTTCTAGCAAACCTTGGTCTGGATAGTTGACAATTCAGAAAGCTTCACAATCCCACAGCAGGATGCTGCCACCACCATGCTTTACAGCTGTCAGTGTCACATTGGTCTCTCAGACCAAGCATCTCAACCTTTGTCTCTTCTGACCACAAAGGGGCTCAGATATCAAAAACTTTACCTCACAGCAGCTCTCATGGACAAAACAAAGAACTTCTGTTGGAAGGTTTAATTAGATTAACTCTGGATGGGTTGAAGTGAGGCTCTCAAAACCTAACAACCTTGTTCCACCTGTCAAACATGGTGCTGGTAGTAGCATACTGTGGGGCTCCATCACTGTTTGAGCTCAAACCCCTTAAAAATGAGAGCTCTTAGCAGAAACCGACAACTAGGCCAATCCAGTCAGAAAAAGAGGACAATTATTCAGGATACTGGAAGCTTATTGATAGCTAGAACCTGCTAATATAGATCTACTACTATGTTCGTGTTTTTTTTTTTTTTTACACACACACACACACACACACATATATATATATATATATATATATATATATAAACAGCTATTTATTACTCAAGAGCAAAATGCTGTGCATCCGTGTAACTATATCATTGGTCCAATAATTCATAACCAATCACTGCTTGCTTCTTAGTTGTGTGGGCTATGCCTGTGGATCTGAGTGTGTTTGCACCCTTCAGATCTAAAGCTGCAGAAAACAGTGTTACTGTGACAACTTAGCAATGCTAACTGTAGCTCCTGTTAGCAATGCCTCCCCTCTTAATAAATCCTTCCCACTAATAAAGTTAACTCCGCTAAAACTGCCCGATTTGCGCATATCACTGCGGCTGCGACCCGCTGCAGCAGCTGTTGTTGTTTATCTCGTTATTCAGTCCAGTGTTGTGTGCAGCAGCCAGTCGCTTGCTGGTGAGAACGCATCTTCTCGACCATTTTTAGGGCTTTAAAAGCAGCCCTGGCATAAAAGTTATGACGTGGAAAGTAAGAGGAGACCTTCACCTACCTGTTCGGTACCTTTCTTCAACACTGCCAGGTGTTAACCGAGTTTAATCTGTGTTTTTACCCCACGCTTTCTGCCCTTCTCCCACCGTTTCTCCCCCTTAGCTAGCCTCGACACCAGCAGGAGAAAGCTAGCGAACAGTAATATGACAACATCCGGGTATTGATTTCAAAATAAAAGCCCGTTTGAGCAGAAATATTATATCAATGTATAAATAAAGTATATGTACGTTTTTAAGCTTGAAAGTTGCTTACGAATTAGTTTTTTTGGTGTTTACTGGTTTTAAAGTAAAAAAAACAATTTAATACATTATATTATAAAAGGAATTTAAAAATTCAAAATATTTACGTATTCTAACTATGATCACTTTGGCACAAGGCTGATAACATTCTGTTGCTCAGATTACAATATCACACAAGAAAAACTAATTTTTAATAAAATTTTATTTTTATAGTATTTTTGTGATGTTTTCTTGTCCAACACAAACCAGGAATAGACTGTTGACAGTTGTCCTTGTCCAAAAAGTGAAAATAAAAAGAAAACTTTTTGCATGTTAATGTGGGTGGAAATAAAAAATTCAAAAGGGCAAACCCTACTATTGTTATTGGTAGTCCGGTAGTTGTAGCTGTTTTTCTTTTCAGACTTCTGGGTTTTATTGCCAAATAGATAACTTACAAGCAATAAAAATGAGTCGTCAAGCAGACCATCTCAGTGTTTTCCGGTTTTGTCTCTGACTTGATGCGGCTCTGACGTCATCTGTTTACCGACCTGATCAGTGTCTGTGAACGAGCACGTTCTCTGCGTTTGTCAACGAGTAGCCTGTTTAAAATACGGGCCTGCAGCCTGCAAAACTAAATTTGAATTCAAGAGGATTTATTTCAGTTGAATAAAGTCTTAATGGATCAAAATTCTGCTTCAATTTGATGCTGTGCTTTATTTGGCCTCTGTAGACCTGCAGACACTGGCCACCTGTTCAATTGCTTTTCAACATAAATGTTGACTCAGCCAATCACGTGGCACCAACTGACTGCTTTAAAAAATTATAATAATAAAGAGAACTTGTTTAAGTTCAAAGTGAATATATAACTGATAGAAGAAGGAGGAATATTTAAAAAATTTCTGCTGGACGAGGATTTTTACACACAGCCATTTAGGTGTTTATTGATTGATTAATTGACTTTATTGATCTCACAGTGGAGAAATGTACTCCTTACATCAGCTCAAATAGTAAAAGGAGAAGAAGAAGGTGCCAAAGGAAGAAAAGGAAAACGGTGCATGGGATATATACTGTATATACAGTGCGTCCACATATAACAACTTTATATATATATATATATATATATATATATATATATATATATATATATATATATATATATA